ACGAAATTATATTGCTCATAATATATAATTTAATATTTAAATATTTAATCAATAATTTTGATTCTTTGACGAACTATTCTAGCTATAACTCTATAAGTAATTAATTTAGTCATTAAACTTTTTTAAATGTTTTGTTTAAAACAAGTATATTATAAAAAAAAAAAGGTTACGTACAGGTAATTTCGCCATTACCCATGCCCTCATTTTGCGACAATCAAACTATATATACAAAGTCGTCATGCCCTAAATCGTCGTTCTTATCTTATATACATTTTCTGGGGCGTATTTTGATTATTTATCTGAGGGGTTTCATAATATTATAGCTCGAAACTTTCATATAACTCACACTGAAACGTAGTACGTATGTCAAACAATAGCCATTCCAAAAAAGCGGATAGAAAAAAGAGTTCACTATGTTAGTATAATAATAAACTGCCTATCGAAGTAATCATTTAATTTTCTATGAAATTTTTGAATGTTATATGCAGGTATCTTTTACATATAATTGTATGTCCTAATATGAACTTACATGCCACAATTTTTCCGCCTCTAAAAATTCGCCTCCCTAGATCATCCGGTCCTCTTGTAACTAAGCGTAAATTCGGCCTAGCTTATATGCGGGGTTCTTGATATTAGTTTCGTAAGTTCGTTTATGTAATAAAATACAGACATCTTTGACTTTCTGAGAAATACATATAATAGTATAATGTCTTTGGGATAAAGTAAGCTTACCTCTCCCGTGACATCGTAAATAGGTACGCTTTACAGCGTTTAAAGATTATTATTTTGTATTTACCGAATACAAAATACATGAATACTTGTTCCAATCTTAAACTTCAGGAAATGTGTTTCGTAAACGTTCTCATTTTACTAGGTATGTGATTATTTCCTATTTTATGGTTAGTTAAACACGAAAGGTCATTTTGCCTGTCTACGCCTACTTTAATCGAATAAATAAAACAAATAACTTAAAAATTTAATTTTGGTTATATGAATTATTGCTGACACAAGTGGACGTAAATAAATTAAGAAACAAATCTTAAATTCTCAACAGTGCACTAATTGGTAACAGGTATCGCTCTCAAGCTGATAGTAAACGAAAATAGTTAATCAAATTGGGTGCAGTAACTGAAATATAGATAGGATATAACGATAACATACAATTTATCGAGTACTTAAAATATAAGATGACGTGCGCAAATTGGTCATCTATTTTCTTCCTATATTCTATTGACTAATTTGATACACTAATAAAAATATAGAATTGTCGGTTATTCAACCCGGACTACAAGAACAATTCATACAATTCATACAAAAAAATACAACACAAGAACGACCGCTCTTATATAGAACCGATTATAATGGCATATATACTGACCTGCTGAGCCCGTACTGAAGCTTTACAGGCTGCGACAATAGTCCATAACAATTATACGAAATCTCTTGGCAATTGTTATCAGAGCGAGGCTAAAATACTTGGGTAGTTAAAAAACGTACTGAAATACACTCACGTAGGTGCCTACACTCAAAGCCACCTATTTGTAAGCGTCTAATGAGTTGATATCATTATTATACCCACGCGCGCGCACATATTTACAAAAGTACCTAGTACAATATATTTTTACATTTTCTTTTAGTTCTTCGGTAGTTCGGTGTATAATATTCGCAAGAACATTGGCTAACATAGCTTTTCTAACGACTAAATAATAATAAAGGTTGCATGAATACGCGCAGATGGTGACTGTAAAATTACTTTCTGTCCTCTTTAATTTACTTGGTCGCCTGAGTCGTGACCAAAAGTGTGAACATTGTGTGCGAAAAGAGAACTACTGTAGTATAATAGTACATTAATATAACGCTTACTATCAAAGCTAGCCTAGTTATTCAAAGTGTCTGGTAATTTGTTAAAGTCGAATAAGTTGTTATAAAAAAAAAAATTATTCAATTTGATTGGAAATCGGTTTTTTTTATTCAACAATAATTTCCAACTAGGTTAAGTTGGAAGTAATTTAATGAGACTTAATTACTTTGTAAATTAAGTTATGAAAAAGTTCGATGTTAAGCTAGTGTTTTTGATATTAATGCCACTAACCTAAAAACCTGTTTATTCATAAACTATCCATAATTTTTAAATTTACATTGGTTTAATGTAAACAATTTTTTTATTGCAATAACATTATTGGTTATTAAGTCCCTTTCATAATTCAAAATTATTCCAGTTAACTTAAAGGATAAATCATGTTGAATTCATCGATATTACCATCACATTTTGTCACACAGAAGTTGAAAAAAAATACCTACTATAAACCGAAAAATAAATTTTCCTAGATAAATTTTTTTTTTAAAATGATTAGAATAATATTAAATTAGACGATTTTGGGTATCCAAAACAACGTGCCATGTTAAAAAGTTATAAAAAGTTATTCGGAATTCAACGGAATTATGTAACTTTAAAACTTAATTCTAACTTTCTCACTAGTTAGTGCCTGTCTTTGTCTATTATAATAATGCATTCATAATACATAATTCATACTTCATCATATTGATTATTATAATAATATTATGCAGTTTTCAATATTCGTACTAATCGTATTTTATTTTCGTTTTTCTTTTTGATTTTTGTTCGTATGTACGATGATAATTTTATTTAGTATAATATTGAACACTATTATTGTTTAGCGTTGCAAGAACATTTTGGTTAAATTCTACGTATTTCAATCTAAATATTTTATTTTCATTTTACATTATTATTTAAATAATATATTCATATGGTATATGAATTATTGAGTATTTTCTGTATTATTATGTCGCACAGTGTTGTTGATTGACGATTAGAGTAATAGTGTTTTCATCGTATACGATTGATGTTCAATTTCTTGTAGATATATAAAAAAAAATATTCATCGTACATGAAATCGTGCTCACATAACTGTCTTGAAATGCATGTTTTGAGATGTAGAAAAACAAATATAATACAAAATATATTGAAAAACTATCGTTGTAAAACTCGTGGCACTATTACTCTGCTCAGAATGTAAAAATAACTATATTATATCGTATAAACCAAATAAAATAATAGGTTTTTACTTTGTCGAAAAATGTCATATCTCGATTTAGGTCGTATATTTTTTCAGCCATTGCCCACGAAAAAGGTCGAATTTCTGCTCGTCCAAAGAGATTAAATTAGAATTCGAAAAAAGTGAAATACGAACTTTTTCTTTGCAGTAGGTGATATGTACAGTATGTTTCACTTTAATGCAACACGAAGTATTTCAGTCCGATGGACTAAGATTAAAATGGTTTTTTTTTTTAGAAAAATTCAATATCTTTTGAACATATTTTCAAAATTGTTTAATCCCACGCAATGAAACTTTCGTTTTCTTATATGGACTGCAGTGGATACACTTGCTTTCAACACTATAGTTCCTTTCTTTTTTTTTTCCAATGATTTTGATTAATAGTTTTTTTATCTAATAAATCGTCCGTGACACAGATCATCATAATCATAATCATACAAGGTAATCGTAAAAATTGTACAAACATGTTATAGTAATAAGTAATAACATACACGTTTTAAATTTTTTGAAAAACCGTTCTTCGTTTGACTTATTGAATACTCGATTCAATTGTTTTAGTTCAGTTATATTTTTTTGAACTATGATTTACGATCCACTTATTATGAAAAATATACGCATTTATTATTGGCGTCGTTAAATTTGTCTTTTATAAAAAAAAAAAAACCATCTCTTAATCATATATGATTTATGTGATGTCCCTAGCAAAAAATTATATAATATATAATATTATTAGTCGTGAGTCGATTGACGCCATCCTGCTATAATTGGGACCACATGGCTCAAAATCACGGAAAAATTGAAACTAATTTATCACGGGACGTTTTTCGTTTTTATTTTACTCTTCTTCGGTATATTTGGTGATCCTTTTTAACATTTGGTCTATGGTTTTTTTTTCATCAATAAAATAAGACTGTTACAGCAATAGCGGCAATAATGTTTGCGTTGTTGAAATACTAAATATTCGCGAATAACTTTTTTCACGTAGATGTATTTTACTATGATGAGTAGCAACTGTATTAAGCACTAAAGAGGTTAAGTACTTTCCGCATTACATTTTCTTTCTTTCTAAAAATCATATCCGTAAACAGAAATAGTACTCAAAAAATATTTTTTGAGAACGTCACGCCGTGTCTCACGGTCTAACTAACGTACGATGTAGCAAATTCGCGTTATTTAAAATGAAAATTGTAAGGTTTAGGTTGAAATAAAAGATTAAACACAAATAAAAGAAAAAAATAGGAAGACATTTGTTTTTTTTTTTTTAAATGTACAATAATGAAAAAGTCATAGCCACTTTAGTGTTTTTTTTTTTTTATAAGACAGTTATTTTTTTCTTTAGAAAAAAGCTATGCGTACAGCCCTCGAATATATCAAACATTTTTTATTCATGTTTAAACGCTGATTTAAACAAAAATGTCGTGTGTTTTCAAATTCTAAGAAACGTAATTTTGCCATGGTACCCGTTAGTTAGACGTCGTGCTCAATACTGATTCGGGTGTGACGTCTTCTTAACGTAGGTAGGTAACCTATCAATTTGGATATTCGAATATCGTTATGTGGAATATTATTATTGTAGTACATTTACACGCTAAAATACGCGTGTTCCATGCTATGGTTATGCGCTCGACAAATGACGTTAGTTATCGAGTATTTGCCCGTGTCCACTGTATTATTACAGTAGTTATTATTTTATCGTATTATATCATTACGAAATATGCGGTTTTTTTTTTTCTGATTTCTCCGTTTATTAAAAATAAACGAACTAATATTATTCTGTTATTATATGTACATTATGCAGCAGGTAGGTAGTCGTATAATAGTCGTGTTTGCGCAGTTGTACCGGCAAGTGTTTTTTCCCCCTTATATAGTTTAACATTTTTTTCTCCCTCGAATGTAAACGTAATAATGTTAATATTTGTTTATAACATCGTATCATGACTATAAATTCGCGTGGGTGACGATACAGAATCGAATCCAACGTTTCGGAGAGCAAAATGGCTTTTGACGATTGTTTTTCCGGTGAACGTTATTCGTAATGAATGCGTTATATATATATATATATCAACTGACGTCAATGTATTATTGTATACGAGATTTACTTGATCCCGGAGCTCTGGCCTGAGGCGAATTTTTCTTTAATATTTACACGGACCGAAACCAATTTTTAACCGGACCGTTTTTGACGTATTATACTTGAAAAATCGGAGAAAATGCGTGTGTTATAAACGACCTATATAGGAAATATTTTCCAAAAAGAACCGTAAAATGTTACGAAATATTTGTTGTTTATGTAAAAAGGTCGTTTACATAAGGCCATTTTTATGAACATTCCTTTGTCCGATTTACCTAATCGTTAAGAATTTTTTTTCATAACCTACTTATTAGAAATGAATTGAGTATAACATGAAAAATATAACAAATTTTCGTGAATTATTGAAATTATTATCATTGCATACAATCGATTTCGTTCGAATTGTATTTAGACAATATTTATCTTAGTCAATAAAAAATGATTGTTGACCCATTTCTCTATAACTCTATCATTAACTATTTAAAAATATTTCCATGATTTTCCTCATCATTTACGCATTATATTACGTTACACTTATTCATAGTTTTATTATACGAATATTTTTTTCAATATCATTGGATTTAACCTTTTTCCTTCTATTAAATTGTTCGGGTATATATTACAGTTTACAAAATTCGATTTAATTCAAGATATTTTACTAAAAATAAGAAAAAATGATTTTCTCGGGGGTATAATAATAAACTTGAGTTGGATTTTATGTAAAATATAAAATTGAACGAATGAACCGCCGGTACAAATTGGTTGTTCACGTCGCGCGTCGTATAAGCATCGGGTCAAATTTTCTTTCTAAATTTTACTCTCAGATTTGTTTTTAATATATTATTATACTTATTTATTTATCCTTAGTCATTTTTATATTTTGAATTAGTTTTTCATTGACTTATATAATTTTTTTCAGTTATAGTGTTTAAGCGGAGAATCACGGAATTATTATTTATTGGTTTGTTGTACATTGTACGACAACATTTATTAATTTACATGGTTTGGTACCATAATATAGAATTTTATTATACTACTATATTTACTTAAATTAATAATTTATTTCCACGAGACTACCAGAGTATTTACCTTACCTAATCTAACATATTGCGTGTGAATTTTAATTTTAAAGAATAACAGACAAAAATAATGCTATAATGGTTTACGACAATTAATTCGGTTGAATAGTTTATAGTTCAAAGTATTGTATTGTATTGTATATATAAGTATGTAAGTATTGAATTCAAGTATTGTGTTTGCTTTAAAAGCATAGGTCCAAATACTTTTTTTTAATATAATTTTTATGTGCAAAACCACTTTAATGTCTATATCGACATAGCTCTAAAAAGACAAATACAATACTCAGTTGCACACATTTTTAAGTAAAAAAATCTTTTTCTTATTTACCCTTTATTTCAAACTTTGTGTGTTAAAGAATGATGTATTTTTTCAAATTACGTTTGAATTTGCTATTTGGTTTTGTACATATATGAGTAAAATTGTACATACAATTGATGACTTCTGTTTTAAACAAATTTAAAAGTCCTACTATTATAAAATACACATTTTTAATACAGAATTGCAGATTATATAAAAACAAGAACGTTTTGTTTTTTGTATTTATTAAATTAATTTATCAGAATTCATTTTGGAACAGTTTTTAATAGAACAATATAATATACAGAGTGTAACTGTACTATTTGACATTTTTACATGTAACTACAATGTAAAAATGTCAAATAGTCCTGTTACACTCTGTATAGTATGAATATTATTATATAATGTTTTTTTTTTTTTTGTTTTGTATTTTGTTCTTTTGATAGATTGTTATATCTCAAACAGCCATTATAATAATAACGGTATAGGTATTAATAATTAAAACCACACGATGAAAAACCTTTTCACAGTACTACAGTGTTTATTTGACACATTTGATCATTGAATACACGAATTAATGCGTGCATTTAGGTATGCGGTATGAAATCAAAATTCTACCTTTTTCCTCATAACAGGAAACTGTTATAAGCACATCCTGTCATCATTAGTCACGCCACCACTGCAATACAATATAATTATAACGATAATTATGTATGGATTATTTTTACACCTTGGAGTAAAAGCTACTTTATAATATTTTAATGCTTATAGTGTACACTATTACAATTATGTATTACTTCTACTATAGGTGTGTTTTTTTTTAATGATTAAAAAAGTTTTCGACTTGACATCGTACGTTATAATCATTAACTCTTGAGATAATTTCTGACGTAGACATAACATAGCCCAAGTATTTTTCGGGGGGCTTAAACGTATAGTGTATAAAAAAATTATTATCATATACCTACAGTATATACATCTTATATTTCTAACTTATCAACTATCTTGACCGTAACATTTTTTTCCATAAATGTTTACACCAATAATAATTTTGTTTCAGTGTTAGGTAAAAAACATCCATTTACTGTCAAACAGGTGGGGTGATGGTGATATATCCGCCTCTCTCGTGATCTATTCCTTGTTACTATTTATTTATGAACAAATATTTTAATTATAAACAATGTTAAACAAACAGCTTCATGTTCTCTCTCTCGCAATCCCCCTCTCCCGTCCTATATCTTGTGACAAAATCATTCGACCGCCACTGGTGGTTTAAACAGCCAGTGTACGAACGTTGCATTTTCGAGTTCCTATATATTATAATAACCCGCAGAGAAACCGAAAAAGGGGTTTATTTTTCCGCTCAGCAACAGACGGAAAAAAAAAAACAAAAACAAAAACGAAAAACCTTGGGATATTTTACTATTTAAAATGTGTTCGGTCTTGTTTAGACGTTTGCCGGAAACTTTCGCGGCGAGGTTCATTCGCCGCGATATTATTAAAATCCACCGAGCGCTTTTAATTAATGTGTCAAACAATATACAGTTATGACGCATTATATGCTCGTGCAACCTCCGCCGTTCGCAGATTCGAGTGAACTTCGTACGCGAAAACGCTTAAATCGTTTAGTCCTATAATATAATATAGTAACCCCGCGCCCAGGGAAGTATATAGTCGTATCGCTCGTGTGCATGTACCCGTTCGTCGTTTCCAACGTTTTTACACAGTTGTTTGCACAAGTGTTGATGTTGGCCGGCGGTGAAAAGTTCAGAAATGTAATTAGAATAATATGTACGTATACTATTCTCGGAATGGGAGGGCTGTCCGCCATTTACGCGGGGGATCCGGCGAGTTCAATTATCATTTTATTACGTGTGTATTCGGATTTTATCCGCGATAATATTAGACTCGCGGGTTTACGATATTTTCAACGTCCGTTTGGCGGGCGTAATATTATATTTTAAACAAATCGATTCGTATATTGAGCTGCAGTGGTTTCTTAAACCGCGTTCCGTGGCATCCCGGAGGTCCACGATATTCATTACGGAGTTCCTTGGCTCAATCGGTTATGATAACATGACATATTCTGTTTAAAAAAAAAAAAAAAATGTATTCGAAAGAAAATCGGTAGAGAGTCCGTGATTTTTAAAAATCTTTCATCGGGGGTCCGTGTGTACCAAAGTGTGTACCACTTGAAACTTATAGTAGTCTATTTGGCAGAAGAGTTCTTGCTTACCTTAATCTTCTCAATAAACTTGTTAGCGGTCCCACTAATGCACATGAGCTTTTTGCCGAGGTGAATTTTAGAATTCCTTGTAGATCCTCTAGGTTATCTGAGCCTTACTATATGTTTCTCAACATAACGCAAGTTATGGTCGAAATTACCATATCTACCGAATGATGTGACTAGCAAATGAGAACCTTTCTAGCCTTTTTTAGCATGTAACGTATTATAAGTATATGTATTCTGTAATGTGTGATATTACTTAAATTATTTTTATGGTCTGTATTTCCAGTAAGTTTTCCGCTATTTTATCTAAATTACCTTTCAAATAAACTGTATCTCGGGCTACGGCCCGAAATGTAAAATAGAACAAAAAATAAAAAAATGAAATAATGTTCCGACGGTTTAACGCGGTACATATAATGAACTAGAGGGGGGGGGCGACTTTTCGATGCAAGGGTTATGTGGTTGCCGGTAGAGCGATTCGATCCGGTTACACGCCGAGACAGCCGAATATTTCGATTAATTTCAATAATATTTTCAATTGCGTAAATATACGCGCGTTCAACTGAAATCCGTCGCGTCGTCGTGTTAATGCCGTCACACCTATTATATAGTTATTTAGCCGTGATGCTATCGTACAAGTACCCCGGTTCAGCGCGAGCAACGAATTCGGTTCAATTAAATTATTAAACGATTCGATTGTAGTATAATAACACGAGCATATAATATACTGTTTATTCGGCGGCGGCGGTGTTGTAAAATATACGTATGTATAGGTGTCCCGTGAAATGTGTGACGTGGCCTTCGGTTTCTTCGCGTCCCGTTTATACAAAACTACTGCACAAGGTGTATTCAATTTAAGTGCAGGGTATATCTCGGAAAGTATTCGCATTTTTAAATTTTGTTCGTTTTGTTCTGAAAATTTAATAACTAAGCGGCTCTAAAATTTAACGATTATATTAATTTTTTCGTCGCCCTAAATTTTGAGGGCGAAACAACTACCTACTTTCAATTTTCAAACGGCAATCTATGTATTAAAAATTCTATAAATATGCGGATTATTAGTTAAAATAAATGTTGGTACTAAAATGTTTTATTTCCGTCAATCCGTTGACGAGATATTCCATATTTAAGTATGGATCGGAGGCCAGTAGTGGATAGCATCATTTATGTGCGTGGCGTTTTAATAACGCACCACTACTCTCCCCCAATCAAAAGATTGCCTTATGAAAACCAAAAGTAGGTAGTCATTTCACTTCCAAAAATTAGAATGATAAAAAATGATGTAAATGTTAAATTTTAGAGCAGCTTGTATCTTAAATTTTCATAAAAAAAAAACAAAAAATTGAAAAAGTAAATACTTTCCGAAATATCGAATGTACCCACTGAAATGGATCGCCTAATGTACATTATAATCGTGCTATAAGTACGCCTTACTCGTACAGTATATTGTTAAAATGTAAT